AGAACAATACGTTTGAATGAAGCTTTGTTTCATCTGTTGTTGACTAATTGTGACGCTTACTTTTAATAATTCCTTTACTCATTGTTAGAAAACACTCTCCGTCTGTATTGGTTCCAGATGTTTTCACCCTCCTTTTCTTCCCCCTCCCTCTCTGCTCGCCCTCCCTGTACAGAGCAATGTTGTCTTCTTTCTGATTCCCCCCTCCTCCATCTGATCTCTCTCTCTCTTGTATTATGTTTTAATATCTCTTACAGAGCGAGATTGTGAAGCACAGCGCAGCAGCAGAACGGTCTCAGCTGTGTTGAGATGGCAGTAGGATGTGGGGTTCACCATCTGTAAATACATGATTCAAGTTAAAAAAAAAAGTAATTATTGGTTAGTATTTATCATTATTATTATTGCATGTAAGTGTTGGGGTGGGCGAACGATGCCATTCATTCTGGGGTAATCTTAATGTTTAAGTAGTAATACTTACATTTTTAAAGTATAAAATCAACAGTCTTCTCCTAAGGCGAGATCTTCGGGCAGCTGCCTGACATATCCTTTGTGCAGATATTGCAAACGCTGAGGCAAACCATACTAGATTGTTGAGTTAGTGATGCTATGAGGTGCACCTGTCCCTCTTTTTTATTATTATTATATGTCAGTCATATCTTTTAAGTTGTTGCGCTTGTTATAACGTCGTAGGTCACATGATAGCGGATGATATACTTAACGCGTTCAGGCTGTACACTCTCATAGCGCTCGGTAAGTAAGGACTTCACTTCGAACGCAGCCCGACAACATCTCGTTTTGACATCTCGCGTGGTTCTGTGTGATTCGGACAACTTCAAGTTACGCCCCTGTCTTGCAGTCCGCAGACAGACCCTTCTCGCTTTAAAAGCGGCTATGTTTTGAAGACGTAAATGTCAGGTGGTGAGGAAGCGTGTGCTATTGGTTGGCCTGAGCACGTGGACAACTTCCCGTCTCAGTCCAAAATATTCACAGCGCGTGTGGTCATGGCAGAGAAAGTGGAGCTTATCGCTAAGTGCATTAGAACTTTCCCTGATTTCCCTACAAAGGGGATTCCATTCAAGTGAGTATTCATATACAACATCATTGTAATCTAAGCGGGCTGTGCAGAATAAGGCAGAGTGGGAAAGAGATGTACGGGTTTGGCAGTAAGGGTCGCCGTTTCTGTTTGTTTGCAGGGATATTTGTCCGATCCTGAAGGATCCGAAGGCGCTGGCTGCAGTGACGGATCTGTTTGAGGAGCACGTGAGGCGCACGTATCCTCAGGTGGATCTTCTAGTCGGTAAGAGAGTGCATATGCGTGACAACAAGGTTCAAAGTTGCAAAACTCCTGATAACCCTAGTGGGAGGAAGCAAGGCTTTTTATTGGATCCGATCCTGATGGAATCAAATGAAGATGCCTTATTAAATAAAATGGGGTTCTTACAGGATTTTATGTGATTGTTTGAATACTGTTGGATAGTGTGATATTGTGTAATGCATATTGTTCATTTGGAATTACAGAACCGTTATCCACCTTTTTCCTACGCCCCATGCCGCTTTGCGCAAATTATAGGAGTAAAATACGGTGGTCGAGAAGTGCAAAACAAATCACAATTCTGAAAACAAAATAACAAATTGTAAATGCGAGTCTAAAAAAACTAAATAACAATTCAGAAAACATTATAACAAGTCAGAAAACACAAGGACAAATCAGACAAACCGGTAGGTATAGTTTGAGACCGCGCCATTGGTTTGGGATTACTCACCGCTGACTGGACGAGACATCTGTCAATCAACATATACAGGGAAGAACCAGCCGAAGAACAGCAGAGTCGTGGTAGAAAGTTCGGAGATGGTATTAAAGTAGCTCAGTTTAAATGTATTGTATGAATTGCCCTTACTATGGAATAAAAAATAGGGGGTGTCTATTTACATTTAGTTAAAAGTGGCTGTAAATCATCAGCTCCAGAGGCGCAGATAGATAAGCGCGTATCGTTGGCTTTTTGATGCGATCGACCCGGGATCCATCCCGTCTTTTGCCAAACTTTTTTTTTTCTCCCTTTTCAAATCTCGTATTAGCAATGGATTCTATTTACACTAAGTGAAAATAGCAGTATTTTTAGCAATATGCTATTTACACTAAATGCAAATACCTATTTACACTGTTAAAGTAGCAGGATTTCTACTATCAAGTATACTACTTGTTGCAAATAGTGGCAATTATCTGCACTTCAGTATTTTAGTACATTATAAAACGGTATGCAATAATAACATATTGTGTACATTTTTAATTTTAATTATGAAATGGATGCCACCTTATTGGTACAATGAAGCCCGCCCTACACCTACCCTAACCCTACCCGATACTTTATTTTCAACTTTTTGATTATTTCCTTAATTTTTATTGAAAATAAATGCCTTTATGATGTGATACGAGATTTGAAAAGGGAGAGAAAAAAAAGTTTGGCAAAAGACGGGATGGATCCCGGGTCGATCGTGTCAAAAAGACAACAACACGCGCTTATCCATCTGTGCCACTGGAGCTGATGATTTACAGCCACTTTTAACTAAATGTAAATAGACACCCCATATTTTTTATTCCATAGTAAGGGCAATTCATACAATACATTTAAACTGAGCTACTTTAATACCATCTCCAAACTTTCTACCATGACTCTGTTCTTCGGCTGGTTCTTCCCTGTATACGCTGATTGACAGATGGTCTCGTCCAGTCAGCGGTGAGTAATCCCAAACCAATGGCGCTGTCTCAAACTATACCTACCTCTTCTGATTTGTCGTTGTGTTTTCTGACTTGTTAATTTGTTTTTGAATTTGTTGTTGTGTTTTGACTTGTTCATTTGTTTTCAAATTTGTTGTTGTGTTTTCTGACTTATTTTGTTTTTTAGACTTGCATTTGCGTTTGTAATTTGTTATTTTGTTTTCAGAATTCTCGCCCACCGTAGTAAAAGGTTCAATAAGCATTTATAAACAATAATAAGCATTTTCAGAAACTGGGTATACAATGATCGATCATTAAAAGTACATTTGAAAGTGTAAAAGCATTACAAATGTCTTGCCATTTAATAACTCCTAAAGATCCTCCTCCTATCAGCTGCAATATTATGGACGTGTAACATATTATAGTAATATATGTCTGTTTCATAGCAAATATATTTTACAGCATCCGTGTGAAAACAAACTTGGAAAGAGACATGAGGATTTGGGCAGAAAAATGAAAGATTTATTTTCTCCCCAAGTAGTCATGATGGTTTCCTCATTTCTTAGTGCATTCCAGGGAATTATTCATGGTTTATATCGTAAATCAACTCGGGAGAGCAGACCAAAAATGCACCGTATATATGTTGTCTTTTTTCATTTACTTGCAGCCGAATACAAAGGAAACATGAAAATAATGCAGCAGGCTAAAAAGAGCTATTCTATAGATATTGTTGTTATCAACTAGTCCAAGCTGGACTATTGCAATGCTCTCATGGCAGGTCTTCCAGCCACTTCTATCAAACCTCTACAATTAATCCAAAATGCCGGATTAACTGTATATATATATATATATATATATATATGCATACATACATACACCTTGTTACGTGTACTGTGTTAGGCTAACCGAGACTTGTCATTTGCACTTATATATTGTTGCTCTTTTGTTAGTTTGTTTGTTTGTCCTTATTTGTAAGTCGCTTTGGATAAAAGCATCTACTAAATGTAAATGTATATCACATCACATTAATATACCAAACGTAACGTTATTCTCCTGGCTTCTGAAAATAGAGAATGACCGATAAGGATTATTTGTAGCGCAATCTTATGATTTGAAATTATTCGTTGCAGTCTCCCCAAACCGGAAGTGTCTCCCATAATTTCAAACGCAGTAGTCTCGTTAGGAAAAAGGTGGATATTACAGGAGGATCCTAGAGTAGGAGACATGCCTGATAGATTTGTTTTAAATTCCTTGTGATGCCATACTGGGACATTTTATCCTGCGGGTCATTATAATAGACCTATTTGGGAATTATTATGCTGCTGCAACCACCCAGAATACCATAACAACACTCTAGGGACCGGCTATTAACCAAACTGTACACCAACACCCCACTAACAATCTTGCAACCACCCAGAACACACTAATGACTGCAGCATAGTAACACCCTAATAGCTGCTAGTAGAGTATTGTTATAGTGATGTTTTCTTCATTCTCTCCCAGGACTTGACGCTCGAGGATTTCTATTTGGGCCGCTTTTGGCTCAGAGATTAGGTGTAGGATTTGCTCCAATCAGGAAAAAAGGGAAGCTCCCTGGCCCAACGTTATCAGTAGCTTATAGTCTTGAGTATGCGAAGGTAATTTCAGTTTACAAATGGTCCAGTATCACGTCTAGTCTATATGCAGTTAGAATGCAAGCCTCTGTTCATTATGTAATTCAGCAGTATCGTTTCAGGCCGAGGCAGAGATGCAGGAAGACGCCGTTTCTGCAGGACAGAAGGTCCTGATCATTGATGATTTACTGGCTACTGGAGGTGAGTGAGACTTCAAACCGGTGTACTTAAACTATACCACAGTTGAATTACTATATATACAGTGAGTACAATTACATATTATTCACAAAATGGCAGCAAATTTTTTATAAATTATTCTCAATTTTTTTACCTTTTAAAGGGGTCATATGATGCGATTTAAATTGTTCCTTTCTCTTTGGAGTGTTACAAGCTCTTGGTGCATAAAGAAGATCTGTAAAGTTGCAAAGACTAAAGTCTCAAATCCAAAGAGATATTCATTATAAAAGAATCAACCACGCCTACCTAAAATGGCTCGTTCTAACACGCCCCACATATCTACGTCACGATGTGGGAAGACTAGCATAATGCCGCCCAAATGTGCACGCAAAGAAAGAAGGCGTGGTTTCAGGAACAGCAGTCATGTTGATGCATCCATGTCAGGGAGACGCTGTATGATTCAGTGCGAAAGCAAAAGCACTTTATTTGGCCTCCGGAAGTAGATGCAATTAGGAATCATTGGTTAAGATTTATTTACAACAGAACAGCACAACCCAGATGTTCGAATTTGTGCAACGCATTTTATGGATTTTTGAACATTAAAGCATGTCAACATATTCTGTTACACCAAATACACAAAATAATGATCTTTAAAATGGCATCATATGACCCCTTTAAATTTTTCAAAAAAAGCCTATTGCTTATATATGTAATCGAAGTCTCCTAGGAATGTGGAATTACACACACAGATTAGTTAGTTGTCAGGTTGCTAAGATTACAAGGAAAATGTGTAGACCCAGAGCCAATCCTCCCTATACGCAAAGTACGCAAGCTGCATAGGGCCCTCGAAACACCAGGGGCCCCCTTGCGCTCAGATGATTTAATTTTAGTTTCGTTTTTGAACACAGTACCCGGACACAGTTTTTCGTAGGGCCCCTAGGAAGTCTAGGATCGGCTCTGTGTAGACCAGACAGCATTTGACCACTGGATTTACGGAAATATTTTACTTTTAAGGAGTGGTTTCTCAACATTGCATGTCTCATCAACTCCTGGCAAACACATTTGAATTATCATTGAGTGAGTCATTTAACCATGTGTTACTATGTCTGGCTTTTGTCTTTCAAACATATAAAAATGCACAAACTCGTGTATTTTATATTTGCATGGAATGCAGTAGATGTAATATTTATTTGTTTTTAAGGTAATTATTAGGACAAGTTAACAAAACATTTGCATATTCACTGTTCTCTGATGTTGGTTAATGGTCACATGATTTGCAGATAAACAAATGTGTTTTAAGAAGTTTTATTTTCATTGGTTTTAATTTCATTTTAAATTTTTATAAGTTAATTATTAGCTTCTTATCAATTTACCAACCCTCTGCAGTTACATGGAAAAAACCCATTTGGCAAACATGTTTAATGCACTTCATGTTGTTAATAGAGAATGGAATGTGTTTATTATTTTAATTTTTTTCCCAATATCAAAATGGTACAAGACTATCCCATTCAAATCAAGGGGATAAATGAGTTGGGTCAAAAGTAATCTGTAAGTACTAACTGCAGTTTTCATTTATTTTGCAATCAGTAACAGACTGAATTTGTAACAAATCTACCCAGAGCTGTGTATATACACTATATACAGGTTCATCTCAATAAATTAGAATGTCGTGGAAAAGTTCATTTATTTCAGTAATTCAACTCAAATTGTGAAACTCGTGTATTAAATAAATTCAATGCACACAGACTGAAGTAGTTTAAGTCTTTGGTTCTTTTAATTGTGATGATTTTGGCTCACATTTAACAAAAACCCACCAATTCACTATCTCAACAAATTAGAACATAAAACTAACTCATTCAATTCAAATGTCAAACCTTTTGAATGAAAGTATATTTTTACATCAAGGTGGGCAGTTGTTGATTCATAATGTCTAGAGTGCAGCTGAATGTACCAACAGCAACAATCCAAGTTCTTTTTTCTCGTTAGGAACCCTGTATGCGGCATGTGAGCTGATCAAACAGCAGAAGGCAGAGGTGCTGGGCTGTTTGGTGGTGGTTGAACTGAAGTATCTCAGTGGATCAGAGAAGCTGCAATCAACCCCTGTGTTCTCTCTAATACAGTACTGACAGTGGTACTGCTTATGTGGCGGAGTCTGTTTTATCTTAGCCATCTGAAATGAAGTATATTATATTACGAATATGAAGAACTTCCAATCATGTTTGGTAGTCTTAATTCATCTTTGACAAATAACCAGAAACTGAAAAAGAGAGAGGCTGCATAAGAAATCGCTTACCAAGTAGGGGCAATCAATCACGTTTTATCTAATGTGAGTGTAATTTCACCATACTACACTCACCATGTTGTCTTTATCGTCAACTTCGGTAATGCGGTTTTATAAACCCTCTCCCTTAGATTCAAGGGATAGCAAAATGTTTGTTGTATGCACACTTCTAGGTGCTTTTCATCAATTGTCTTATGAATACTCCAGACATGCCACTCTTCTTACTGTTTTTCACCTATTATACAAAAGCAAATGTATGTGATTTCAGATAGAGCTTATGTATAGATTCTTAAGCTTCCAGTCTGCGAATATGAAACGCTGTTGCTTGCATGAACTTGTTTATTGTAAATGAACCGATGCACATTAACTAGATGAACCTTAAGGTTTAAGTTACCAAAGAAGCCAAACTTAGAACTACATTGAACTGCCTTTATACAAAATACTTTTTACATGTCTATGTATATGAACAATTATTGTGCTAAGATGCAAAGAGCAAAAATCACAACAAACAGCAGTTTAAAACACCGTGACCGCCAGACTGCAAAACTGACTGAACAAATTAAAAAGTAATCATGTCATCTCAATGTTAAAATCCAAGCATAATCCATAATAAAATATTGCACATGGTATTCTCTCAACAGTCTTGTTTGAATTTCTTCAGATACGCTCTTCTTCCTTCATCTTTTGGTTCAGTTTGTCCAGCACAGTGTTCAGATCCACGGTCTTATTCAGCTTCAGGTACATATCCTTTCTGACTGGATGTACTGTTAGCCATGCAGGTGTCAACTCAGCCAACAGGCGAAGATGTTTCTCCATTTCATCTAAATTAGAAGAATGATAAAAATAACTTTAAAAATAAGAAAAAAAATCCCATATTCATAAGCACTAATTTCACAATTAGCTCAGCATCATGCTATCATCAAACTTAAAGGAACAGTCCCCCCTCAGGCTAAGATGTAATGAATTTGTTTCTTCATTAGAACACATTAAGAGAAATTTTGCATTACATGCCTTGCTCGCCAAAGGATCAAGTAAATGGGTGCAGGCAGCTTTTCAAAAGATGTTCATTGATTACTTGTGGATTATTGTGATGTTTTTAATCAGTCGTTTGAACTCATTCTGCCGGCACCCATTCACTGCAAACAGGGCCGTCCTTAGGGGGGTGCAGCTGGTGTGGTCGCACCGGGCCCCGCAGCGAACAGACCGGTGAGCAAGTGATGTATCGCTAAAATTCAGATGAAGAAAAAACGGTTCCTTTTAAAGAGGATTGTGTGTGGTGTGAAGATGCTTTCAAATAAAGTCATGAGGTACTCTTAAAAGACGGCTCACTAGGTTTTGGAACAGCAGTTGTGTCAGGAAAACCTGAGGTGAGAAACCCAACTGAAACATCTGTACTAACCAGAACTGAGAGGAGATCTGTAGCTAGCAATCACGCGGTTGCAGGCGAGCTCCATGATGAGGGCTGGCTTTTTCTCTGCTACAAATACATTTCGCAAGATCCTGGCCAACTCTGGCAGGCGTGACATCATCGACAGGCGCCCTTCCTGCAGTGGGTTCCGTGTCATGGCAGCATGCAGTTTCTGAGCCTCTTTGGCACGAATCTGAATCACGGAGAAAATATTGGTTAGATTCTTGTAAATGCACAAAAAAAAAAGAAAAAGAAAATGTTTTAACTCACCCTCTCCAGCAGTGATTGAGAAACTCCTTTAAGGGCACTGGGGGTTTCTATTGGTGTAGCAACAGATTTAGCGGAGGTCTCTGGCTCCTTAGCACATGCTGTTTCTGCTGTTTTCAAGGCCATGTTGGCCAAGGCTTTCTCCATCTAGAAAAAAAGAACACAAGTCAATTATGCAATGCACACGTTTGTTTTCAGATCAACTTTTTTTGAATAAAATGCCATTTATACAGACTTGAACACATGACTTTAAATATGTTTTGTGGCATAAATGCCCCGAACTATAATTTAGTTCTTTGCAAAATTTTTTTTTTTAAATATTGTGGATTGATTTCATTTTTAAAACCTAATTTTTGGATCTGAAAGTGAGAAAAAAAAAAAAACGCATGCTGAAAGACTAGATTTAAAGGGGTCCTATTATGCTTTTTCACTTTTTTAAATTTGAGTCAGTGTGTAGTGTCGGTGTGCCTACACTCATAGAAAATAATGTATTTGAATTTTAAAGACGTGGCGCGACGCTGCACATCTCGGCCTGAAATGCTGTTTTTTTTTCACCTCCATGCCCAAACGTCTTTGTTTGGGCTTCCTAAAGCGGATAATGTCAAGAAACAGTGGTTGCTATTTATTTTTTAACTCTGTCCCTGAGCATTATAACCCCAATTTGCTATTGTGTGCTGCGCATTTTACGGAGGACAGCTTCCAAAATACGAGGGAGTACATTGCCTGCCGGATTCGCCAAAAGCTTTTGTTGAAAGACAGAGCAAGAGGCGTGGCAGTACTGAAACACCGTCTAAGCTGTTCGCCAATCACAACGCACTGGGACAGCTAGATTTCTCATCTTAGACATGATTGTTACTGACCCCTATTCAAAAGGGAACCAGTAATGCCCTAAAGAGCACAAAGACAATGTTTAAATGCTCACCTTTGGTGTCATGAAAGCACGAGCTTTGTCCAACACTTCCTGTGCCGAGGTCAGTTTCTCAGTTTGGGGAGGTTGAGGCAAATCACTTGGTTTGATGTTGGGAACCTCATCCAGATTGAATCTCGGATGCCAGCGGGTCAGTTTGTCATCAGGAACGACAATGGGAGGGTTTAGGGAAGCCAGGTACACCTGTATCCAATGAAAGACAAAACATGATTAGAATACACAAAAATCAGAATGTCTAAAACACTAAAATGCAACACTAAAATGCAAGCAAAACTATTTTATGAGCCATATCCTGTACGTACCTTGTGGTGTCCCTTCACGATTTCAACCAGATTTTGGTGAAATATGTGCCTTCTTTCCAAAAGACGAGAGGCCGACAACACTGGACGAGTACCGTTAAATTCTGGAGACAAAACATTTTATGAAATTTGTTTTATATTTTATGAACTTAATGATTGAATGAAAAGATACCATTGTTGTACTATAAAATGGTTGGTGCATATTATGCTCCCAAATTTACTTTAGAAGCAACTCAAACTTAGAGTGAATGCAGAGTCTAATGCAATAAAGTCACTTATTACTCAATGTTACCATTTCTGAGCAAACTCTCAAAGTTCTCACCTTCTTGAATGACCGGCTCAACTGTAAGCTGATAGCTGGACCTTTTTGCAGTAGCACTGAAAGAGGGAATGTTTCTCTCCTGACGAAAAGTATAGGCAGAAGGGTACACAGCCTTTATCTGCCCCAGATGGCTCTCTTCAAAACGCCTGTGAAGAAAGCAAAATATGGTTACCTTTGATAAGACGGACCACACAGTTAACCAGCAGCCTGACTGGCACATAAACATTTTAGCACATGGTTTCATTCAGCCTCTTACTTGCGCATCATATCTTGGACCCCTTGCTTGATTTTGGCAAAAGTGACCGTCTCGGAGCACTAAAATGCAAGCAAAACTATTTTATGAGCCATATCCTGTACGTACCTTGTGGTGTCCCTTCACGATTTCAACCAGATTTTGGTGAAATATGTGCCTTCTTTCCAAAAGACGAGAGGCCGACAACACTGGACGAGTACCGTTAAATTCTGGAGACAAAACATTATGAAATTTGTTTTATATTTTATGAACTTAATGATTGAATGAAAAGATACCATTGTTGTACTATAAAATGGTTGGTGCATATTATGCTCCCAAATTTACTTTAGAAGCAACTCAAACTTAGAGTGAATGCAGAGTCTAATGCAATAAAGTCACTTATTACTCAATGTTACCATTTCTGAGCAAACTCTCAAAGTTCTCACCTTCTTGAATGACCGGCTCCACTGTAAGCTGATAGCTGGACCTTTTTGCAGTAGCACTGAAAGAGGGAATGTTTCTCTCCTGACGAAAAGTATAGGCAGAAGGGTACACAGCCTTTATCTGCCCCAGATGGCTCTCTTCAAAACGCCTGTGAAGAAAGCAAAATATGGTTACCTTTGAGAAGACAGACCACACAGTTAACCAGCAGCCTGACTGGCACAAACATTTTAGCACATGGTTTCATTCGGCCTCTTACTTGCGCATCATATCTTGGACCCCTTGCTTGATTTTGGCAAAAGTGACCGTCTCGGAGCGGTTGAACAGCATCCCGACTATGGTGTCCATGCTGCGGAACATCTCAGCGAGAACTTTGTATTGGTAGGGCAGGGTAAGACCAGGTGGCACATCCTGAGCTAAAGCGTGGTAACGCTGATAAGCTGGGAGCTTCTGTCTGAAACGAAAACAACAAATTCAACTATAGAAGACTAACGACACAAAGCATGTCCAGGGTATCTGCAGTGTTTTTTTAAATCAAATGTAGGACTTTGAGACCTGCACCAAATGTCCATACGAGGGTAACTGCATGTCTAAAATACTCAAGACATGTTTTATTCAGTGTGTACATAAGAAGAGTTCATTTGCAAAAACCGATAAACGCCACTTATTCTCCCAAATATAGCGCGATCAGAACCCTAAACACGTTGTCAAAAAAGCTAGTTTTGTCCACTTTCAAGGCATCTCAAGTTCACGTTTTACTGCAGAAGCAGACAAGCGCCATTGTTGTTTTTGAACAGAAGCCAATAAGTCCATTTTAGCGAATCAGCGCGCTGTATTCAGGTCAGGTGACAAGGCTACTTTCACTTTGAAAACACGTGCTAGCTGAGAGTAGTTTCGTCAAAGCCGACTAAAAGTGATCGAGGATGGATAATTTCAATTAACCTGTGATATCTTCTTTAGGGCGAAAAAGGAAAATAAAAACAGAAACGTTTTCACGGAAGCTTGCAAAAGCAGCGCGTTACAATGGTGAGGGAAAAGCTCTGTGTATTGCGTTTTATCACATCCATACAGTTTATGATCATAACAACAACAACAACAACGTTTTCAGGCATCTACATTGTCATCTGAGGAGATTACAAAGATTAAACCAGTGTTTTTTTTAAATGCTAAAACATGAAATGTGGAGTTATCTGCTTTTGCTATGAAACAAACTTCTAATAATGTAAAAAATAAAATAAAAATACTTTCAATGAACTTTAATTTTGTAAATTACCTGTATTTGTTTAAGTTATTACTTAATCAAAACAACCCAACTGCAGTTTGATTGATATTACTTGGAATGTGCAATAAAAAAAAAAACGTGATTTCTGAAAAAAAAAAAAAAAAAGTTATCGGTTTTTGCAAACGAACTCTTCATATGCATCAACATTGATTTGTATACCAGTATAGCAATACAAATTAGAAGCGGATCAACATCATCATGTCAGCAAAATCCAATAATGCGTTTAAGAAAAGGCAATGAACAGATTATAGTGCCAATACCTGTAAAGACTACTAACAGGGAGGCCCAGAAAGCAGCATTGAATTAAATGCAATAATCTTTTT